CTGGTCTTCTCCATGACTAGTGGTCTGGATAGGAGTTTTGTGTTCAGAAAACTTTATGTAGTTTATTTTTTTAAAGAACCCATCGTACATCTTTATCAAATAGAAACTTGGGCTTCAGCTGCCTCCTCCACTAAAACGGACTTATGCTTTAGACTAGAATGAGAGAATGGCAAAAATCTTAGTAAGTTGGTGGCCGACTTGGTAACTGCATAGTAATCGAGAGGCTGTAAAGTGGGAAGACACTGTAGGCAGCAAGATAAGAGTGGGTCCCCTGAAAGGGGATTTGTTTGGTGCTGCCTGTTAAACAAGGTGGGGGGAGGGGGTTGGGATCTTGGTTTTGTCCCCTCCCAGCTTCACCTGCCCACTTTGCCCTTCTGGCAAACCTGTTCACATGGAAGTCCAGAGCCAGTGGACAGAAAGGAGGGGAATGACTACAGAGGTGCTGCTTTTGTGGCACAAACTTTGTTGCAGTTCAGAGAGTATACATTCTGCTCTGCTCCAGAGCAAGAGTTGCAAACCAGGCTCTTGGGGCTGGCCATTCGTTTTTGTAAATAAAGTTTTATTGGAACACAGCCCAGACCAATTTGTGTTTGTATTAATCTGTGTGGCTGCTTTCAGATTCGAAGGCAGAATTGAGTAGTTGACATAGAGACTGGCTGGCCCTGAAGCCTAAACTATCTCCTATATGGCCTTTTAAGAAAAAGGTTTTTGACCCTTGCTCCAGAGTCAAGATGATGGAGGACAGCGGGGTTGCAAGGGATGGGCATCTGCCTGCCTGGCAGTACCAGCCTCAAAAGCAGTTAGTCTAGATTTGCAGGTCATTTAATCCTGGCTACTTCACGCTTCTCAGCTGCTGTCAGCTACAGGCAGACCTTGGGATGATATTTTATAATGTAATAAGTAATTCAAACACTGGTTGTCAACAATATATACTTCTCTTGTTTTGGGGCAGCAGTAGGAGGTAAAGGCTTTCTGAGGTGATAGGGCTTCCCTGTCTCTCTTGAAAGTGCCCAAATTATTAAAAATGTATCTTTAATTTTTGGAGTGTATTGAAGCTCTTTTGTGGGTTCTGGGTGAAGAAGTAGAGCTAGAGCCATAGGATGTGGGATGGAAGCAGCCTAACTTAGTTGTTGGGTGGTTAGGCGGGTTGTGGAGAAGTGGAGGGTCTGGAAGGCTTGCTGGCTCCACAGCTGTTTCACAGGCATTTTGTTTAATTCTTAGAGCAATTCTGTAAAATCAGTGTCATCATTCCCCCTTTAACTCTGGGAAGACATGAGTCTGAGTTGAAGTTAGAAGCAGTCTTCTGATTCTAAGTCAAGTCCCTTTTTTTTGCCTTCCTCTGGGCAGGATGCTTCTGTTGTATCCTGGTGAGTCTAGGGGCAATCCAGTCTTAGGAGGTGGGAAGCCTGCATTGCAGAGAGCAGAGGCAAATGGGCTTCCCAGGTTGAGCTTGTGATGGGCAAGTAGACTGGCACTGGATGAGGCTGGCAGTGAGGAGATGTAGGGTACAATATGGGAAAATGGGTCTTTCCACCGGAGTAAAGGTGAGTGTGTCTGCATTTGATAATTCTTTGATATTTGTGTGTCTTCGTTATTTTGTAGAGTCACATTTCACTTAGAAAGCCATGTGACAGTTTTTAAATGGAAAAAAAAAAAGGTACAAATTCCAGAGATCCTCTCTTAGGTATTTATTGCCAGCTACAAACAAACCCCTTCTGAATTTACTTAACAAGGAATTTCATAAAAGTAGCTCTGGCATTCAGTCCCAGCCCTGCTCACATTCCTGCGTGCTCATGCCACCTGACTGTCATCTTTGCGAATGCAGATGTATGCATTCTGGAGAGCAGGGAGTGAGTTTAAAGTTCCGGTTGCTTCAGGATGCCAGGGGAGCTGACTCCTCAGAAGTGAAACTTTGGCACTATCCAGTCTGTGGATGGAACAGCAATAGCATAGAATGGAAACTCCCTACTGGAGCTGTTTATGGTGACAGCCCCAGGATATGTACCACACCTGCTTCCTTCATATGCTGGCTTCAGTTTCTGATAGATGAGTGGCGCAACTATGGTAAGTGTTTTGTTTTTGTTTTTGAGATGGAGTCTCACTCTGTGGCTGAGGCTGGAGTGCAGTAGTGAGATATCAGCTCACTGCAACCTCCACCTTCTGAGCTCAAGCGATTCTCCTGCCTCAGCCTCCCAAATAGTTGGTATCACAGGCATGTGCCACCATGCCCTGCTTATTTTTGTATTTTTGGTAGAGATGGGGTTTCACCACGTTGGCCAGGCTGTTTTCCAACTCCTCACCTTAGGTGATCTGCCTACTTCAGCCTCCCAAAGTGCTGGGATTACAGGCATGAGCCACTGCACCTGGCCATGGAGAGTGTTTTGTATGGAACAATTCCAAAAGGACTCTTGGCTGTAGCCATTGAGCTTCTGGTTGACCGAGATTGGTAAAATTATTCAGAAAACACATCAAAGACTGGATGTGGAGAATAGTATTGTAATCGGTTTATACTTTAATACCACATCTAACAATGTATGATAGGGTTAATCACTTCCCTGAAGGCATCATAAGCCTTGCTGTGTGAAGGGCATATAAATACATTTTAATATTTTATATGTTTTTCACACCTCAGCCCCTCACTCTGAATAACTACAGTTCCTTAAAATACTGTACACGTAAAAAAACCTCAAATGTGGATCTTTTCTTTGAAAGTAAAACTGAATAGGTCCTTCTGCCCACCTCCAGTCCCTAAGGAAATAACACATTTTATATTGATTGCCAATAATAGGTTCGAATGTTTGTGTTTCTTCTCCATTGGCCAACAAGGGGGGGTCCTGACAGTGGACCCAGGAGTTCTCTGATAACTAAATTAATGTTTTTACTAGCTCATTTGTAATCTGTGAGTGGTGACTTCTACTCTGAAAGGCTGGCTAACTCTGGGAGGTTACCTTCACTTAATCAAGTACAGCATTTCTTCCAAAGTACATGCAGTGCTTCATGTAAATTCTCTCTTGGATTTGCGTGACATAGCAGGGTGGAACGGTGAGAGAGATGCTGAGCTTTGGAGTCCTACTGAAGACTGGCTTTGCCATGTGGTAGCTGTGTGGCCTTAGGCCAGCCAGCTTTTCTGAAGGATCTTAGACTCTTACACATTACAAGTGGTTGTGAGAACCAGATGAGATAGGACACATGTCAGAATCTGAAAAATCCTATGTACGTGGAAAGTATTACTTGGTCTCTAAGGCCCTTCGACTTAACCCACTTTTTTTTTTTTTTTTTAATTTAAAATCTTTTTTTTATTTTTGAGTTGGAGTTTTGCTCTTGTTGCCCAGGTTGGAGTGCAGTGGCGCGATCTTGGCTCACCACAACCTCTGCCTCCTGGGTTCAAGCGATTCTCCTGCCTCACCCTTGAGTAGCTGGGATTACAGGCATGTACCACCACGTTTAGCTAGTTTTTTGTAGTTTTAGTAGAGACAGGGTTTGACCATGTTGGTCAGGCTGGTCTTGAACTTCTGACCTCGTGCTCCACCTGCCTCGGCCTCCCAAAGTGTTGAGATTACAGGTGTGAGCCACCAAGCCCAGCCGGTCCTAACTCACTTTTAACAGTTTGTAGAACGTAATCTTTTTAAGTTCTCTGTGCTCTTATTATGCTCTTTTTCTGTTGTTGTTTTTGAGATGAAGTCTCACTCTATCGCCAGGCTGGAGTGCAAGGGCACAGTCTCAGCCCACTGCAATCTCTGCCTCCCAGGTTCAAGTGATTCCTCTGCTTCAGCTTCTCAAGTAGCTAGGACTGCAGGTGTGCACCACCATGCCTGGCTAATTTTTTTTGTATTTTAGTGGAGACGGGTTTCACCATGTTGGCCAGGATGGTCTTGATTTCCTGTCCTCGTGATCCACCTGCCTCGGCCTCCCAAAGTGCTGGGATGACAGGCGTGAGCCGCTGCGCCTGGCCTATGCTTTCATTTTTTAATGTGCTACACTCTGCATGGGATGTGCCTTTTCTACAGGGCAAACTGTCCACGTTTCCCTCTCCTTTTTCTCATCGTGGTTTGTACGTGCCTCTCATTTATTTACTTACTTACTTACATAAAGGAGTTGGTGGATGCACTTGCCTCTCCTAGCACCCATCACAATGGATGTAGCTACTAGCATGTCTCTCCTGTTCGACTGAACTCCTTACTGGACACTTACCGCAGGAGTCCTTACAGCCATGTCAGTGCTGTTGCAGAGTGGATGTTTAATAAATATTTGTTGAAGGAAGTTTTTAAAAAAGAAAAAAGAACAGATCCAGAAACAAGATTAGGGTATCAAGACTTCACATTACTAATTCAAAATTCATGTCCTTTGATTTCAGCTGTATTAAAATTGAAGGCCTTCCATACCTGACATTTTTCTACCTCATTAGACAGCTTTTCTTTTCTTTTTTTTTTCCTTCATTTTTCTCACCTGGATTACTGTGGCAGTATACAGCTTTTTTTTTAATCAGATCTTGTATTAGGGTGACTTTGAGGAATCAGAACATCAGGGCTCCATCTCTCAGTGGAGCTGGTAACTAGCTTCCTGATTAAAAAAATCACCTTTGGAGGGAGGGCAGGAGTTAAAAAATAAATCACCTTTGGCCTAATTTTGTCACTTACAAATAGTGAAGTGTTGCAGTACTCTGGTATGTTTTTTTCTTTTCCTGAATTTCGCTCTTGTTGCCCAGGCTGGAGTGCAATGGCATGATCTCGGCTCACTGCAACCTCTGCCTCCTGGGTTCAAGTGATTCTCCTGCCTTAGCCTACCGAGTAGCTGGGACTACAGGCATGCGCCACCACGCCTAGCTAATTGTGTCTTTTTAGTAGAGACAGGGTTTCACCTGTTGGTCAGGCTGTCTTGAACTCCCGACCTCAGGTGACCCACCTGCCTCAGCCTCCTAAAGTGCTGGGATTACAGGCATGAGCCACCATGCCCAGCTCAGTTATGATACGTTTAATAAGTAATATTTTTAAAATACCAAAGCCTGTGGATTATTTTACTTATAAAAAATATGTAAGTTAGACCTGCAACTCGAAAGGCACTGTCATTTGTTTACACATTCTAACATATTTCTGATAAGAAAGTACCTGCTTGCTTAAGAGAAAAAGGGGTAAGTTACCAAAAGCAACAAGTTCTCCTGCTGAGCTCATATCCTGGATTCATCCATAGGGCCGCTTGGGTTGTAAAGCTTTTAGCATCTCTTGATTTCTCTTTACACTGAGACACAAGGGCCTGCTGCTCAGAGGCATTACTTCATTTTTCTTTATGAAGGGTACTGTACCAACATAGACTTTACATTATATTTAAAAATTGTAACTGCAAGATATATAGGATGCTGTAGGCCTGATTTCCTGTTTTAGAACCTTCAGCCTTGTGTTGAATGAGGAGTGCAAATACATAGACTCTTAAAATCAGACCACAGCAGGCATTCAGGGGATAAACTCCATTCACTCCAGCTGTTCAGTGGGATGTCTACGCCCTCCACATGCCGGCTTATTCCTCATCTGAGCCACTCAGGAGGGCTGTCGTGTGATCTGAATTCAGCTTCTGAATTCCAATGATTTCTCCTCCTCCATGCCTCTTCATCCGAGTCAAAAAGCTTTAACAGAGAAACAGTAAGAGCCAATTAGCCAGAGATTCCCTTAATCCAGTACCCAAGGATGCAAAGGCATCTACTGGTTCTTAAAGTATTTTCTATATATTTCTATCAAATACTGTGATTATGTCTATGAACCAGACTTAGAAAATACTCATCAGTAGATAAAGGGACTGATGGTGGAAACCACTGAATGTCAATGGAGGTGAAGGTCTACCTCTCTTGGTTTGCTGTTTCAGTGGCTGGGCAGCAGAACTAAAAGAATATGACTTGAGCTCCCTTCTCTTTGGTCTGTGTGGGACTCTGTGGATGAAATACTGGCAAAAACTGTAATTATTTTTGCACCAATTTAATAATCTTGGGATCTAGAGAAATGACCTAGGAGAAAAGGTAGGGGCAGCTGAACAGCAAATAGAACTGGTAATAACATTTGCTAAAAGTCACCCTTGTACTGAGAGGCTCTGCCATTTATTAGTGGGGTGACCTTGGTCAAGTTACTCAGCTTTTTGAAGCCTTGTCTTCATCCATAAAAAATAATGGGGCATACTTCATAAAGCAGTGAAGATTGATGGGATAATAGAGTGTAGCTGCTTTCCACTGGGCCTGGGGCACAGCAAGGAGTCCGTAGCTGTTATGATCTGTATACCTCTAAAGAGCACTTTAGTGAGGGGTAGAGGGCAGTTTGTCTTAACATTCTGCTCTGGTTTATTTTTTGATTGTCACATCATCTTTAGGAAACAGGCAGGGCAGTTCCCGAAATAAGATGATGGGCCCAGAATGAACCTGTTACAGCAGGGTCTCCCATCCAGTACTGATTCCCATTTCAGTTTTCCCCACCACACCATAGGCTTAAAATCTGAGACCTGCATTTGAAACCTGGGTCCTTCAGGTTACTGTGACAGGTCATTTAACCTTGAAAAGCCTCATTCCCCTTGTTTGCAAATAAGGGTAGTGATACCTTCCCTGCATGAGAATACCTTGCACAGGATCTGGGATGTAGTTGGCACTCATCAGATCGTGCAAGTTAATCACATCAGTCCTGCTTAGGGTTAGGAGGAAAAGCTTCACTGAAGTCTTAGACATACCAGTAAACAAGAAAATAGTTGATGGCCACGATGCTGAGGGCAGCCAGGTAGTGCCAGCAGAAGCACATGGTGATGAACATGAGGTTGGCCTCATCCTTCTGGTCCCATTCGGGTGTTCCAAAAGGTGGGAATAGCACAAACCCAATCTGGGGGATTACACAGAGAAGTTGGTCTTAAGATTGGTTGTCCTGAGAAGCAACCAGGCCATCCTGTGGTCACCAAAGTGGCCCATATGTTCCCATGCTTTGTTAGTATAGAAAGGCCTTTTCACATAGGAAAATGGCTCTAACTTAATTTTGGTTTTAGTATAGGCTTACTTAAAAACAAGTCCAGGTGCAGTGGCTCATGCCTATAATCCCAGCACTTTGGGAGGCCACGGTGGGCGGATCACTTTAGGTCAGGAGTTCAGGACCAGCCTGGCCAATGTGGCAAAACCCCGTCTCTACTGAAAATAACAAAACTTAGTCAGGCATGGTGGCGGGCGCCTGTATCTCCAGATACTCAGGAGGCTGAGGCGTGAGAATCGCTTGAACCTGGAAGATGGAGGTTGCAGTGAGCTGAGATTGTGCCACTGCACTCTAGCCTGGGCGGCAGAGTGAGACTCTGTCTCAAAACACAACAAAAAAACAGAACTTCAGGGCCCACATTTCCAGTGTACAGTTTAGCAAGCAAAGCCTGTGAAAGGCATCAGCCCATCCTCTGGGAGGACAGCTGAACCTCACTGTGCATGCTCTAGATTTTGGATTGCTAATGCATCCGCTGGATATTAATTGGATAAAACCAGAAGTCCAAGGGTGGGCATGGGGGAAAAGGGCCATCTAAACTTGTTTGCATGGCACATCAGTGCTGCATTTTTCAGACTCCATGTTTTCGTCAGGGATTTCTCCTGGATGTGCTTGGTGGGGTTCCTCCATCTAGAGCAGCAAGGTGCCTGTGGAAAATCACCTGCCAGAACCAGGTTCCTTGAAGAATGAGGAGACTGGTTCGGAAAAGTTCCAGCACAATGTGGTCCCGGAAGATCATCTCTAGAGAGATACTGACACACGCTCCAAAGAGAGCATACAGCAGCAGTGAGTGGATGTGTTGGTCCAGCGGAGGCCGGTTATGGACGTGGTAGTAGAAGAGGAAACCTGCCACAAACCAGATGGCAGCCATCAGGGCTACTCTTGGCTTTCCCCATTACCGAAGTTTCTTCCTACACGTGCCTCAGCTAGATTTGTCAGCATTTAGGAAGTTAATTTACATAACATTACAGGTAGCAAACAGATTTGAGTAAGTGTATTCCTTGAGTATTGTAGGAGTATAAAGCAGCAAGGGATGTGTCTTTTAAAATCTCTACGGAGCCCGTGGTGGGGTCAGTACAGGGTAGACTGGCTGAAGCATGTTGCTGATTTCTAACAGACCGTGTGTGTGTGTGTACTGGAAATTCAGTTTTGCCCTCAACCTTTTTCAACTCTTGCTGAGGTACAGAAGTGAGGTTGTTAGATGACAAAATGCATTTTCATACCCCAGTCAGTGTGAGTCATATTGGGAGCACTCCCCTCGCAGCGGGGTGGGTCTCCTGAGACTTGTGATGGAGGCAAGATGGTACCTCCCTGGGTGAGGGGAGGCGTGCGGTTTTGCTTAACCAAAGAGATATGTCCTGAGTGGTGGCATTCAACCAGCTGGGGCAGCGTGTGTCCATGCATGTGTATGCACACACATACATCCACACCGAGGAATATGCACATTCGGGAGCAGGGACTGCTGGGGGCAGTGGGAAGGCAAGGAGGACTCTTCAGGGTTAAGGGGGGGCTTTGGGAACTGCCTGCAAGCCTCAAAGCTTTCATGGACTGCTTTAGGGAATATGTCATCTGGCCCATCCAGAGCATAGCACTAAGTCCTATGCAGGTTTTTTGAAGTCCAGAGATGTGGATTTTCTGGAGAAGATTATATTGGTAACATTTCTGGTCTTTTGTGCTCTGATCCTTCATAAATATGACTTGTCAGGCTCTCCTTCCTCTTTTCCATCCATTCCACAAAGTTACCTTCCATGAATACTGCCACAGCCATAACCAGTCTGTCCACCCCCAAGGGAACGTGGCTGACCAGATAGGTGAGCATGTCAACAATTCCTGAGACTGCAAAGAATAGGTACATAGTGCTGTGCTGCCAATTCATTAACTTTATCCAGTGGGTCTCATGGTAGAGGTGCAGGTGGGGCCCGTCTGGAACAAACTGCTCTGCCAGGATCCCTGTGGGGAAATGAGAGGGAATGTTTTAGAGGGAAGAATAGCTCCAAGACACACAGGAGCAAGAAACAGCCCAAAGGCTTGACCAAAGCAGAGAGGGGGTGAAGGTGGCCTACGGGTCAGCAGACCTACTTTGCTGCCTCAGGTGCAGCTCCTTCATTATAAACTAGGGTGTGTGCTGAGTAATCTGTGTAGACGTCTTGCCATCATTATTCCTTTAGGGGTTTGGGGTTGAGGGAAGAAGATCAATGAACACAGCCACACACAGATCCCCAGGAGGTTTGTCCAGGAGCGGAGATGAGCAAGGCGCCATCACTTAAGTTGGAGTGTGGCTGATACAATAATCTCTGGGCTTTGCTGCCAAGTAAGCAGTGAAATAAATCTCAGACAGAAACAATTAGGTTGAAAACAGAATCTGAGCAGAGACACACTGGTAGAGAAGATACCTGTACACGCCAAAGGAGAGAAGCGGCTTCCAGTTGTGTGTCTTCCCAGGCACGGAGCTGGCTCTGCAAGCCCTGCGCCTCCTCCCAGCTCTGTGTTAAAACTCTGGGTGAACAAGGCAGAGGCCCCATGATGTGGGCCAGAAAACTGATGAAGCTGCACCACAGGACAGCTCTTAGTTCTTATCCCTTCTGCTTGTATCACCTAATTTGAAAGGCTAAAGATTCGTCTTTATGCCTGGTACCCAAAATGTTCTTGGGGAAGCCTAGAAAAAAATCCTCCATGACAACGTTCTGGACTCTGTTCCTTAGACATTTGTTTCTCAAACCAGACCCTTTTTGAATTCCCACACAAAGGGTCAGGGAGTTGTGGAAATGACTCAGGAAAAGTCCCAGTGACACTAGAACAGAAGCCCTATGAGAGCGGAGACTGTGTGGTTCCCCTGTGTATCTCCCACACCTGGCATGTGGTACAAGTGCCAGAGCTGTTGAATGAGTGCCATTTTCACCCAGTCAAGGGGCCAAATATTGTAATCGTCCTAGCTTTATTTAGGCAAGGTTGATGCTGTCCTGATCATTTAAGCCATAGGTCCCTGTCACTTCTCATGGGAGGCCTCTCTGATGCCTGAATGACTGGTGCGTGGGGAAATTCAGCAGGATGAAGCCAGCAAAGCTCTGTAAAGCATCGCTTCCTCCAAGAGAAGACCCAGTGTTGCTTCACTCTCTCCAAGAAACCACAGGCCACTGATGACAAGTGGCAGTTGTCAGTTACAGAATTAGACCCTCATTCTCCATGTGGGGCTGGTTCTGAGGGAGAACACTTGTTACTGTCATCACTGCTTGTTCCTGGAGAGCCCCAGTGGAGCCAAGTGGATGAAAAGGAACAGTGGGAGTGGGTGAGTCTTGTTGGAATGGGGCAGAGTAAAGGAAAATCCCTCTTCATCAGGCATCTGCTGCTTTTTCTCTCGACTGGCTAACTTATTAATCTACATAAACTCCCTCTCTATAAGCGCTTGAGACTTGAGGATAAGCCAATGACTTGGGTGTTAACTACTGTAAGGCTCTGGAGGGAGAAACAATTGAGGAAAAAGGTGATTTTTCTGCTTTATCACAACTCATGTACATGAGCCTAATCTATTCTTTTCTTTTTTTATTTGTGTCATATCTTTTTCAAACAGTTTTGCTCCTGCAACTTTCTATACCTGTGTCCTTGTTGATTTGATAGTTTTTCACAGTGACCCATGGTGTGAAAGCTGTCAACTGTTAGTATTATAAAGCTGTACACATAATGGATGTTATGATAAAATAGTCTAGTGGCCATCTGGAAATTCTTGCCCTGTTACCTCCACCAGTGGAAACATCCATTTCACAGGGCTCAGAAAATGAATTAAAGGTTCTTGGTATGATGAGGACATTCTCTGGACCAAATGACCCCTGCTCTTACCAGTGATGGAAAACAAGGTCCTGACTGCGGCTTCGAAGATCTCGACACGCTGATAATAGCAATGCAGTAGGCTGTTCTTCTGCTTGTGATTGAAGTACTTCAGAGGGTGCTTCACTGACCACCACAGCCCAATGATCAGGAAGAAACTCCCTGGGAGTGCATGGCCCTTGAAATTTGCCATCAGGACACCTAAAAAGTGAGGGGAAGGCTGTTAGGTGGCTAATGAAGAAGGCATATAAATGTATATTTTGGCAGGAAATACCATACGTGCCTGAGATTGCAAATTATAAGCCACGTTAAGAAGGTCAACACATTCTCTTTTTTTTAGTATATGTGCTGCCGAGGCAAGCACGGATCAACACATTCTCATAAAACAACCCTTTATGTTTTTGTCACTGAACTCTCATCTGAAAAGTGAGTTGCGTGACAAACTGGGCTCCACTGTCTAATGCTTTAAACGTGGGTAAAATAAAAGGATGAGGGTGGGAAAAGAGGAGGATAGGTAAATATTTATTGATCTCAGGTAGAGAAACCTTTCAAAGCATAAACATAAAGCGGGAGAACTAGAAAAATGTTCAGTTCTATAAGCATCTTTTAATATCAAGAACATCAGAAGTAAACAACAAATCAGAAACATGCTTATAGCAGCTGTATGGTAAATGGCTATTACATTAGAGTCTTTACAAATTAATAGGAGAAAGACCATAGGAGAATGGGCAGAAGCCATGAACAGATGATTCACAAAATAACACAAATGGATTATAAATCTCCCAGAAATTAGAGATGTACAAATGAAAGCACAACTTAGTCTTTCACCTAATTGGAAAATAATTTTAAAAAGTTCTGGGCTGGGTGCGGTGGCTCATGCCTGTAATCCCAGCATTTTGGGAGGCCAAGGCCGGCGAATCACCTGAGGTTGCGAGTTTGAGACCAGCCTGACCAACATGGAGAAACCCTATCTCTACTAAAAACACAAAATTAGCCAGGTGTGGTAGCGCAGGCCTGTAATCCTGGCTGCTTGGGAGGCTGAGGTAGGAGAATCCCTGGAGCCCGGGAGGTAGAGGTTGCAGTGAGCCAAGACTGCACCATTGCATGCCAGCCTGGGCAACAAGAGTGAAACTCCATCTCAAAAAAAAAAAAAAAAAAAAAAGAATATGTGGCATGGGAGAAAAATACCAGTTGTTGGAGATTGCTATGGTTTGAATGTGTCCCCTCCAAAATCCAGGTGTTGCCAAGGTGATATCATTAAGAGAATGGGACTTTTTTTTTTTGAGACAGAGTTTTACTGTGTTGCCCAGGCTGGCATGCAGTGGCATGATCTCGACTCACTGCAACCTCCACCTCCTGGGTTCAAGCAGTTCTCCTGCCTCAGCTTCCTGAGTAGCTAGGATTACAGGCATCTGCCACCACGTCTGGCTAATTTTTGTATTTTTAGTAGAGATGGGGTTTCACCCTGTTGGCCAGGCTAGTCTAGAACTCCTGACCTCAGGTGATCCACCCGCCTCGGCCTCCAAAAGTGCAGGGATTAGAGGCGTGAGCCACGCACCCGGCCGAGAAGAGGACTTTTAATAAGGGACGAGGCCATAAGGGCTCCTCCCTCCTGAACTAGAAGTGGGTGTGCTCATACAGGGGCTGGCTTTTTATCCTCCTGCACATGGGGATGGGATGCAGCCCTCAGCAGACACCAGATGCTGGTGCCTTGATCTTGGACTACCCAGCTTTCAGAACAGTGAGAAATACATTTTTATTCTTTATAAATTACCCAGTCAGTGGCATTCTGTGATATCAGCACAACATGGACTAAGACAGAAACTGGTACCAGAGAAGTTTGTAACATCTGTTAAAACAAATATAAAGATGTGGGCGTGGCTTTGGAATTGGATAATGAATAGAAGCTGGAACAGCTTTGAAGTGAATGCTGAAAAAAGCCTGTACTGCCATGAATGGAGCATTAAGGATGATTCTGATGAGGTTTCAGAAGAATAGAGCTGTAGGGAAAGCCTCGTTCTTCTTAGAGATTGCCTAAGTGGTCATGAACAGAATGTTAATAGAAATATGGATGGTAAGGGAAATTTTGATGAGGTCTTAGACGAAATAACGAACGAGGTATTGGAAACTGGAAGAAAGGTTATCCTTGTGAAATAGCATCTGAACTGAATTACGCCCATGTTCTAGGACTTCATGGAGGGCAGAACTTAAGAATAATGATGACCCAGGATATTTGGCAGAAGAGATCTCGAAGCAGCCAAGTGTTCAGGATGCTGTGTGGCCTCTCTTAACTGCTTATAGAAAAACGTGAGAGTTTTAAAAATAATACACTCTCATGCTACTGTATATGGGGATAAAAGCAAATCACATGGGTGCAGTGGCTAACACCTGTAATCCCAGCACGTTGGGAGGCGAGGCCAGTGGATCATCTCAGGTCAGGAGTTCATTGGACTCCAGCCTGGGTGACAAGAGCAAGCCTCTGTCTCAAAAAAAAAAAAAGAGAGAAAAATATGAGAAAAGAGAAATGACTTGAAGGTGGAATTTATCATCAGAAGAAAAGCTGAAAGTCAATATTTGTTAGCCTAGGTATGTACAAGATAAAAACGTGTGTTTAGGAGACAGAACCACGGGTATGGCCGCCTGACTGATAAAGAGCTTAGTATGTGTAGAAGAAAGCCAGGTGCTAGTCATCAAGAAAATGGGAAAATGGCCCCAAAGGCATTTCGGAGATCTTTGGGGCTGCCTTGCTCGCTACAGGCGCAGAAGGTTAGGGTTTTGGAGCAGAACAGATTCAGGGGAAGGACTCAGGTGCCTGTGGGGTCTCAGAGATCACTGCTGAGGCCCACCTCGGGTCTCTGCTCACACAGACCGCCACAGGAATGCCCACATTCCAGCAGAGCATTCATCAGTTACCCTCGCTGTGGCTCAAGCAGGACCAGGTGTAGTGCGCAAGTTATAAATCTTGGTGGCATCCGTGTGGTGCCAACTCTGTAGGTACACACACTGTAGGAGCTGTAGGAACATACACTGTAGGAGCATGGCCGCCTCCACCTAGATGGAAAGGATGTCTTGGATCTCAGGGCCCAAGCAGAGATTTGTCACTGGGGTGCAGCCACTGCAGAGAGCCCCCAGTAGGCCAGTACTTAGGGAAGCCTTGGAGGTGGTATCACCTGGAGTGTTGGGGGCCCAACCCCCACCCCAGTGTGTCCAGAAGGTGAGACGTGGAGTCAGATAATATTATTCTCAAGCCTAAGATCTAATGTTGAGTTTTGGACTTGAGACCTGTTGTTACTCCTTTCTTTCTTCTTGTTTCTCCCTTTTGGACAAGAAACATGTCTTGTATTTGAAAGTATGGACTCATTTGAATTCATAGGCTCATAGCTGGAGAGAAATTTGCCTCAGGATGAAATTTACCTCAAAGTGAATGAGTCTCTCTTAGACATGATTTAGATGAGACTTTGGACTTAGACTTTAAAGTTCATGTTGGAATGATTTAAGGCTTTTGAGGGCAATTGTGACGGAATGAATGTATTTTGTATGTGAGAAGTACGTGAATTTTGGGGGGCTGAGTGGAATGCTATGGTCTGAAGGGGGTCCCCTCCAAAATTCAGGTGTTGTCAGTGTGATAGTATTAAATGTGGGGCCTTTAAGAGATGACTAAGCCATAAAGGTTCCTCCTTTGTGGATGGGATTAAGCACCCATATAAAGGGCTGAATGTAGGGAGTTGGTTCCCTTTTTTGCCCTTTCTGCCATATGAGGCTACAGCCTTCACCAGACGCCACATGCCAGTGTCTTGATCTTGGACCTCCAAATCTTCAGAACTGTGAGAAATAAATTTGTTCTTTACGAATTACCCAGTTTGTGGTATTCTGTATAGCAGCACCAGCAGACTAACACAGAGATCTAGAAAAGACTACCCCAGAATATAAAGCATCCCTGGTCTGCATAGCATATTCCAACCCTGGATACAGGCCCGAATCTAGCACCAGTTACACTGTCAGGGCTGTTTCACATCTTACACATTGACAGTTGGGGGTCCCACCCATCATCAAGAACTTTCCCAAGCTTTAAAAAAAAAGCTTACAGTTTTCAAAAACTCAAATAGTATTAAAGGCTTCTAGTGAAAAGCAACAGCCTCATGTTCTATCCCTCCTCACCCCCAGCAAAGCCACTTTCACCTCTTTCATCTGTTTCCTCTAGTATTGACTCCTGCCATTCTAGTTACTGGGTTGATGCAAAAGTAATGGCAAAGACCACAACTACTTTTGCACTGACCTAATACTTGGCGCATGCAGCCATTTGTTAATTCATCATTGTCAGGCATCATCTACCAACTTCCTGGAGCTCTCTCACAGCCACTCCCTCCTCCCCATCCTGTATTTTCATAGCAGTTGCACTATACTCATTTGTTGAAATCATTAGTTTCATTATCATGGCTCTGTAAATCCGAAGTCCTTACCCGGGCCAGTAAGGCCATATATGATCCTGGGCCATCTCTTTGCTTTCTCCCAGCACTCATCCCCTGCCGCACTGGGTTCCTTCCATTCCCTTAAACAGCTGAGAACAATCCAGTCCTGCTTCAGGCCTTGCACTGTCTGTGCCTTCTAGAACAGTGTTCCCGCGGGAAGGCAACAGTTGTCTCCTTCACTTTACTCCAGTCTCTCATCAAATGCCACTTTATTCACTGACTTCTGCATGTAAAATACAGGCCTGCCCCACTTTTCACTTTATGTAGACTTGTAACTTTTCTGTAAAGCACAAATCACAATCCAATATTGCAGACTGATTTTTTTTTAGCATCTGTCTTTATCCACTAAAATGTGGCCTCTGGAAAGCAGAGATTTGATCTATTTGGTTATTGTGGTTAGCCCACAGCTTACCGCAGGGCCAGACATATAGTGAGCACTCAGTAAATAGTTGTGGAATGAATGAATGTGGATCCAAGTAGCGTATTGTGGGTTATGTTTTCTCTAACACTTTTTTTTTTTGAGACAGTCTTGCTCTGTCGCTCAGGCTGGAGTGCAGTGGCATGATCTTGGCTCACTGCAATCTCCACCTCCCAGATTCAAGCGATTCTCCTCAGCCTCCTGAGTAGCTGGGATTACGGGTGGGCACTGCCACGCCTGGCTAATTTTTGTATTTTTAGTAGAGACAGGGTTTCACCATGTTGATCAGGCTGTTCTCCAACTCTTGACCTCAG